TATCTAATTGATGATTCCATGTAATTCAGCAAGAACTATAAACAATTAACATATCTGAAGTAACAAATCATTAATGACGAAACTCATATTCGTTATATAAATGAACTATATAATTCAGCATTGAGATTATCATTGTAACCAATGTTGTATAATAATCCCCTTGCAATCTGTTTTCACTGCTTGGGTGGCGAAAATCGAGTAGGTGTCTTAAGTTTAGAGTATCTTTATTCGATTTTTTATTTAAATCGATGAGCAAACTCATCACCGCCATTACTGAGGAATGAGTAAACATAAGCAAAATAGGATGAACAATCAGTTTTTTTAAACAGAACTAGCATACCTAGTTGATTTATTAGCATCCTAGCAACTGTTCCTTGCAAATCCGACCAGCAGAATGCGTAGGGGACGGCCAAGATTAACCTGGTGCAAATATATGAAAGGAGTCTGTTCCAGACCCCATTTGTCTTTTGCCGAAGCTCAGACTCTGGCACAGGATCGGGAACGTTGGAAACTATCTGACATGTCTGTCTCCGCGACCGGAAAGGAGAAGCGGCGATGGAAGATGAAGACTAGCATATCAGGAATGTGTTGACTTAGTGGCATAACTGATGAGAGAACGAAACAGTCTCTAAGTTCCAGTTCATCTTACAAGCACTGGATTCATAATTTAACGTTTAAACCTGCAAAATGAAAGTCGATCTGTGAAAGCAGTGATTCTTCATCAAAAACTCGATTCTGGTGGCGATATACTTAGACGTGCTTATATACAATTGAACAACATAACATTGGATATTAAGTTCACTTGAATGAAGAACGAAGTGATGTAATCCCATTCCATGACTGCCAAGTCGTGTACATAATATCTCTTTTGCAATATCAGTGTATCGAAAACCAACTCACACTGAGCAGTACCTGAGCTTCAAGTTCAACTACTCGCTGGCAATATAATCAGCGCTAGAAGATGCCTTTCATAAATGACAATTTCAGTGGAAAGAAACTTCTTTTTTAATCATTAGAATGCGATAATCATTCAAAGGCCTTTGTGGAAATGATGGGTCGAGACTAAATAGCAGGAAAACGTAGAAGAAGCGCCAGCCGCCTCTCTGTGCATTCCCTATGTTTAACATCTCTCCATATCAGTCAAGACAATTTCAAATTCAGCAGATTTCTGCTTCCTTGCCAGGTCGAAAGACAAGCCTCGATTACTATCCACGAAAGTGAAACATCTCGTTAATCTCATGAATGATCATTCCATCCAGAATAGGCGGTAAACATTATTTACCAAACCAACTGTTCAAACAGTTGCTCTCGATAAGCTTACCAAATAATACGACCCTTACGAATGGAAGCTGCAGAACATCAGCGAGCGAACAAGTGACTAGTGATATACGAATGAGCTCTAAAAGAACTGGAAGAAAGAATTGCAGCCACACGTACTCATATTAGTACCAGCTACTTAGATAAACGTCATCAAGGGCTTTGAAAGTTTCAAGAAAATTCCACGGAAGCATAGTGATAGCAAAAAACCAAATTGCCGAGTGAACAGCGACAAAACTTTCACATTTGCGCAACTAGCAACAACCAAAAAATTATCGTATTACTTTGTTGCTTTGAATTTACGAAACACCAACACAGTATCCCAAATTCAATCCTCGTCAGTCAAACCATTCCGGTTGATATGAGTGTTGGCAAGCCCAACCGAAACCTGGTTCTCTGTATTCCATATTCCACTCTGTGCAAAATAAACCTCTTTTTAACAGTCAATAAATTTCGACAAAAGCCTATGCCGTCAGCGGAGTAAGACTTGAAAATTATGCGGATGCGCGAATGATATCGAATAGTGAAAGTTCCCTAAAGACGAACTTTGAT